TATAAAGTTATTAAAAAAGGTATTATAATATATTAAGTATACTATTTATATTAATTTAATCAAGGCTTTATATATATACTATAACTAACTTATACTCTTGGCTTACCAAAGTCCCAACCTACTAGGGTTTAAATAAAAGTTCCTATTAACATCCTATAGTCGGCGAGCGGAATCAATGTTCCAGATGTCCCCCTGTAGCTTATACACCTTCTCCTTTAGGGGCTTGACCATCGTGGTCAGAGACAATACCACACGCTCATCGCATGCGTCGAATGGCTGGAACGCAGACAAGCCGCATACCTGCATCGTAGCAACGTGGAGATCAAAAAGAAGCTGAACAACCACCTCCTCGGTTGGGTAGAGCGGGCCACCAGGCTGAGGTCCAGGCTTGCCAAGGTTGGGATAGCGGTTCTCTAGGTAATCCAGAGTCTGCTGAACCTTTCCAATGCTTTCCAATGTCACAAAGACTTCGTCTCCTAGCCAGTAACCCATGATTGCAGAATATGGTTGTTGTCTCTGAGTGAGTAAGTGGCGATGGTATAGTCCCTGGGGAATAGATCTAAGGGGAATTCAGCTCCAATTTATACTACTTCTTCTTCTATAAGATAGATCTTTCATTCATGATTGTTCACTGTTTATATTAGAGTCTGCGTATCTCTGTTCTGGACATGTTCAAGATCTCTGTAACTCATCCTCAGCTTGTTCACCTTACCTTCCATGGCGGTTTGGCTTCTTACTCTATGGCTTTCCATGCTGATGGCAGTACTCGCAAGACTGGTAGGCATCTCTGTCAACATATCCCTTGCAACAGCTTACCCTACGCGCTCTTCTTCAGATCATAATCTCAGCGTCGATGTCATCGGCAACTCAGACTACAATGCTCTTGAACAATGCTTCTTCGCCATCAAGGGCCAAGCGAAGTTGACCCCCAAGTCAACCGAAAGGATGGCTCCCAGCACATCCTCGTCAACCCCTCTCGAGTGATCACCGCTGTCAATTGCACCGGCAGTTGCGTTCCTACGTACGGCAAGTACACCAGATCTAACTCCCGTGATCCGGCATATCTGACGAAGATGAATGGTAGGCGAGTGCTATGATACACGCGGGCAGCCTGTAGGACCCTGCTGCAACGGCTTGTGCATGGCCAATCGTTGTCGACCGTGGAACTCGACTCTGTCCTAGACTATTAGCCTACTGGAGAGGCATACGGCGAGTTCTTGGGAGAACACGGACATTACCCGATGAGTAAACAAGGGTCGTTTCGGTCATTCTTCTGTTGAAAAGGTTTTGAGTTGGTACGTCGGTTATGGACTATCTTTAAAGCATGTTGAGTTTAAATTGACCAGACTGAGAATGATTGTATAACATAGATGCTATCACTGACCTCATTGTATCACATCAAGCGTCAGACCTCAGTTGCGGACACGATTGAAGCATAAAGTAAATCTCAGTTCTTTAAATTCAGAAAGGTATCTCGTAATATCATACAATTGTCATCATCATTCTATCATAACTCCATAGCAATGCGCCGATCCAGGCCGCTCGATAACTGCTCTGGAATATGTAACCTCCGCAATGCTTGAGCATGTTTTTAAAGTAATTTGCAGTCTTTGTGAAAACGAACATTAGATACAATGAATAAGAGAAAGGCAGCGCCACAATCCATTATCGTCTCCGACCACTGCCATGATGCTCAGGAACCCTTGTGGTTTGAGCTGAGGCAAGGTCAACGCCCTGCCTCATAAGCTTCTGTCTAGTACTGTTGGGATGCTTCTGACCCATGAAGCCGTCCACCAATGCCGCTCCAAGAGCAGCTGTTGCAACCTTGGCGCCCTTGGGGCCGAGCCAGGGACCAGATTCATGACCAGACTTCATCGCAGCTTGAGCACCAGCTGTGAAAGCAGTACGGGCACCAGCCTGGACCATGGGGTTCTGCCACCATGCAGTTCGTGGCTTGGTGCTAGCGGGCATGGAGCTGCGACGCCCGGTAGGAGCGCCGCCACGATTCTTCTGTGTGGTAGGAGGCCGACCTCGATTTGGGGATCGAGCAGCATCTCGCCCACGGCGGTCTCTTGTTTGAGACCGTGGCCGTCGTCGACTGGCAGCAGCAGCAGCACCCGCTCCAGCTCCGGCAGCTCCAAGTTTGGCACCGTAATGATCATCTTCCGAGTCAGAGTCGGAGTCTGGATATCGTGACTTTCGACCCCGTCCTTGCGACCTAGAGCGAGGTGACGGTGGCACTGATCTTCCATGTTTGGACCTTCGTTGGTCTCGAGGATCATCAGGGTACGCGCGTGAAGTTGGTTCCCGGGCATAAGCGTCGCGATCATAGGGATGCACTGGTGGAGCATCGCGCTCGAATCGAGGGTCTCTGTCGGGGCGTGCGTCCCGCTTTCCACGGATGGGTAGCTCCCGATCCCGATCCCGATCCCGCCCTGAGCGAGGCTCGCGTGAAGACGGGCGAAAATCTCGCTCGGGGTAGTGAGAATCGCGATCGGGACGAGCTGAGCGAGCCTTTCGGCGAGGTGAATCTGGCGGAGGTCCGAAGGGTGGAGGGCTGATGTCTCGGCTTCGTCGATCAGGCCCGGCACTCCGCCCGCGACGTTCCGACTCATATCTACGGCGGGGACGGCCTTCGGCTCTCCGATCGTCCATCATAGGATCATCAGGGTACCCTGGCCTGCCAGGACTCGGAGGGCGGCGACTCCTTTGTGACTTGTAGCGGCGGGGAGGTGACGCATCTGTCGCCGGCTCTCTTCTGATTTTGCGGGGAGGAGGTGCATTTCGGTCTTCGTAAGGGTCATACGACCTCCCGGGATCTGGCGCTACGTAGTCATCATCATATCCGTATGGGCGCGCTTGTTGTCTGGAGGGGCGGTAGTAGGCCATATGTGTAGCAGTGGTACGGGTGTTGAGATCTGTGAGAGCGGAAGATGGAGGCTCTATCCGATGGTTTGTTTGTGTGTGTAAGAGGTGAAAGGGCTGGCAGGTTGATGTTGTTGTAAGCTAGTCAGGAACTTGTGAGTTGCCTAGATGTGTATATTGATAGTGGAGGGGTAGAATGTTGGGGATAAATCCTTCTTTATGTAAAGAGGTGCCTGCATAAAACACGTAATGAGACAGGTGACAAGCGGTAAGAGAAGAGAGAGAGTAAAGGAGAACTCCGTATCCAGGGATCATCAAGGAAAGTAGGTCACAACTTGGGTCATGGCGCGGCTTGAATTTGAACCGGGAGTGAGACTGTCAGTGAGTGTCAGAGTGAGTGGGTGACCTTGGCGCGAGGATCAAAGGGCTGAGTCCCTAAGAGTACCTAGAGAAAGGAGGGGGCGCTAACTAGATCTTCTCTTCCGTCATTGAAGAGGATGCATTAATTTTCGCACATATAATTAACACATAGCGTTGCAATTCGCTGATGGGATGCATAAAACCAAGGCCAGAAATATGGCGTCGAGGTGCATTACCCGGAGAAGAACACCAGCCATCCAGCTCTGAGCTTGACAAGCTTTCGTGGGGAACTCGGCGTGGGTTCCATTAAAGACCCTGCATGCTCGACGTCATAAGATCCAACTGCTCAGCTGATTAACGTCACTACTCCAAGGGTCTAGTCTCTCGCTAACCCACGGAAAATGGCGGACAAATGATTGAAGATAGCGAGCGATTTCTGGTCGATTCCTATCAATCGACGCATCTGATAGGCACAGAACATCGTGTAAACACTTTTTCTAAGAGGGAACTGTTAATGTCTCATGAGGCCATCGGGGCGCTGCCTCTCATGACCTCAGCTTCATACGGAGGATGGCCGGTCTCTCTCACCGGCAATCAACCCGCCTTGCGCGACCCTTGGACGACGAATGTTAGGTTGAAACGTGTGCTTCATCCTTCAACGGGAGTCGTAGCAATCGTTGGCCACCGCCTTTCATGCCATCATGACGATGCTGAGCTTCTCTTCGGCCTCCGAGTCCGTGATACATCTATCGAACCAGACAGTAGCATTGATGCTGCTACATCATGAAGCACAATGGTGGCCATAGGAGATCGTGTATCATATGACGCTCCCACACGATGATGACAGTCACAGACACATATTTAGTCGTAGTGATATTGAGAGACATTGAGAAATCCCACCACAGACAAGCAGACACACCGCGAGCTTGGGACATTCAGCTCAGATTCCAGACCAGATAGCTTCCGCTTGTCAAGATTGAAATGATCGCTCTTTGATGGACTGGGGTTGCATGTGTTGTATCGGAAGTTTATCACGGGATCTCATCGGTAGTGCCAATCCAGCTGATCCCATTTAGTTAAACTTTCAGTTTGACGCAGGAGAACCAGGGTTCATCCATGCTGTACGGCAATATGCTGGGGTTTGATGCAGGCAAAAAGCAAGCTGACTGCGTGTATAATTGTGTTACCTGGTTCTCGTTGGTGTCGTATCGTTAGGCGCCTTGTCTAACGCAGTGGCAACCAGCCATCGACCTTTGAAGACGACGGGCTCGGGATTTAGAATTTCCGCCTTGCAAATGATGGCGGTGAGAGTCGTCGGTCAAAACCGTCGTCATACCCAAATATGAGATCAACAGAGGGATATTTCGAACAAACCTGTATGAAGCTCGGGAGATCGAGAGTAGTCATCTGGGGCAGAACAAGGTTGACCAGATCGGGATAAGGACGAGAGGAATGGAGAGCGGGGAACGGAAACTTGCAGACCAAGAATCCATCCTGACCTGGGGAAATGGCGGGAAGAGGTTGAAATGAAGTGCCGGGGACCGGCAGTCACTGAAACTGAGCCATGAGGTTCAGCGCTTTGAGGCCAGAGTTCATGCTGTGCAACTCAGAACGCTCAAAGAACTCCATCTTGAGCCAAAGATGCACGTTTTGTGCTGGGCCTTTTATTAGGCCTGAGTAACTCTAAAAAGACGGCGTTATTTGGATCAATATCTCTTTGTTGTCTGTCTCATGAACACGTAGCATCGCTCATTTTTCAGCTCGACTGCTGTTGCACAGAAAAAAGGGCGAAACTGGACAAAGTAATGTTATGAGAATAGAGGCACGAGAACACCAGAATAAGTCCGAGGTGCGGTGACTGAGACACCCTGGACGACCTCAATAGTTATTTCAATTCAGCTCTGATTAATTTGCGAGCTTGTACCTTTACGGCGATCTATTGATGCATTGCATCGTGATTCAACACCATCACGATGAGAGTCGCGATAGCATTGATACAGCGATTCAATTGAGTTTCGGTAAACGGCGTCAATACAGATCGCAGACCTCCGGCCCACCTCTACCGGAACAACCCTCGGCCCCGGATAGCTCCAATTGAAGATCATCAATCTCCAGGCGTTTCGTTCACTAAAAGCTGTTAGCAGGCGAAACTCGGATAGGTGATAAAGCTCGGAGGACGGCGCTTTTCTGGGGCTCTTGGTCCGTTATCTTTTGCGCTTATCACGCTTGACATGCCTCAAGGGTCTTTATCGACAAGTGAGCACAGGCCAATATTCAATTAGTGAGCTTCTTAGTCCGCACGGTGTATCAGAGTTTCAGCACCAGCCCAGCACGCGACAGTACATCCAAGCTTGGACGGTCATCAGCCACAAGCTGAATCAACCGCCCGTTCCGTTAAAAACGGTAACAAGCTTCTCCAGCGTACTAACAGCAACCGCAAAAGTCCACATCTTGAAGCGCAACAGTCGCGATAATTCAAAAAGCAACACCAAACCGCCAATGTTATAATTCCAAGGCGCAATAGAAGGGCACAGCATTGCGCCGGCTTCTAGAAGAAAAGGTGCTTACCCGCCCTGTTCTAAAGATGTTCAGCTCCATCCATCCACATTAACCTCGAACCATTGAAATTGCCATGCTAGCTGTCTCAGCTCGTCCGTGTTGCCATGTGTAACAGACCAGCAAAGCAGATAAGCACAAGATCGATGCTACCTCCTTACACCATTCAAATTGGAACCTCCGACATTGTGATTGTGGTTGTG